ATAAAAAGTGGATTCCTTGCGACAACGCAAAGCAAAAACTTTTGCAATCGAATTTCGGTGAGTGAGTATATGGTAAATGATGGCTAAACCAGGATTGGGATTTGGTGGGTTTAGCAAGGAATCATATACTGTGAGCTGATCTCTAAAATGGCAAAACTCTTAACTCAAAACTGCACGGTCAACAATTGAATGTCTACAGGAAGCAATCGCCCAGAAGCAGCTAGAGCTTTGATAGCACACATACCATCTGTTCCTGTCCATGACGAACAATTTTGCTGAAGAAAAATTCACTTCAAGAAAGGCTTATAAAAATCGTCTTTTTGAATTTTTTGCCAAAAGGGCATGGGTTTGTATGAGAGGAGCCTTATGATATTACCTTCAAAATGGCAACAAGTTACTGCTCAAAACGGCACACAATTCACCTATATAAGAGCATCAGAGCATAAGAGCATTCCAAATATAGTAATTAAAGCCTTAATTTTATGCAAAAATATGTTTTCTTTTTCTTTTACCATATATATATATATATATATATATATATATATATATATATATATATATATAATATATATATATATTATATATATACATATATATATATATATATACATATATATATATATATATATATATATATATACAGTGGTGTTGTCGAGCCGGAACGCACCCGGCAAATTACGGGCCGGCAAAAAATTTCCGGTTCCGGCGTTCCGGCAAAAAATTTTTTTTTAAAAATCGCTACATACAGAAAATGATTTAATAAGTGAATTTTATAAATTATAATTCAACTAATTTTTATTAAATGTTCCCATTACTGTAATAAACATACATATATGTGCACAAAATGGGTTTTGTAATAATTTTTGTTTCTTTCCTTTTCGAACGGAACCGGAGAAAACATGATAACCGGTTTATGAACCGGTATTTACATTCTAGCGTTCCGGCAAAAAAAATAGTAGCTCAACACCAGTGTATATATATATATATATATATGGTATATATATATATATATATATATATATATATATATAATGTACATATAATATATACTCATGTATGCCGCTGCTATCTTTTTTGACGTTTTAATTAGACGTTGGGTAAGCATTTTATACAATTCCTAGCAAGTCAACCAAATTCCCAAACACAACATATATGTTGCTTGAATACAATTAACAAACAAAATAAAACATGACTATATTTCATAATATTTATTCTTCACAGTATTTATAAATTATATTAAACTACCAAAAACAATAAATTAAAAGTAGCTTTCTTTAAATAAGCAGTCGTTATTGTCGATAGACTCGTGTACAAGCAGTCCTATGACAAAGAGTCTATTCGTGATTTTAACTATGTAGATTAAAGGAAATAATCATCATGGACTCCTACATGGTTTGTACATTTTCTAAAGTAATAATCACATATGCGAGAAAATGACAATAAAGATACATTATTGAAGGCACATTATTGTTAATCTAGAATTATTTACACATTTATCATATGTGCATTACACTGGAACAACTATTACAATAATAGCTAGCAATATCATTAGGGGATGAAGAATTGATAAATTACACAAAAATCAATGAATGTCAAATTCTTCCTTATAGGATGATTTCATAGAAAGATTGTGGATGAGTTATAATGATAAACAATATAAACAATAATTCTTCAAACATTGTTAGTTGCATAACATGGTATAGTCATGCATATCTTTATAGATAAATATGAAAAGTATTTGATAAAACATGTTGTAAATTAGATGATTCATCAATTCTGACTGACACAAAATTAAATAATCACAAAAGCATTCAGAATATTCATAATTATTTCCATCCAAAAATTTATGGTATATTTCACGCTTATATGAAGGAAACATGCAAATATAATAAAGTATTTTACATCTGTAAACTATAAATATTTTAAATCAATATTGCACTAACTACAGTTACATACAAATATATACATGTAATATATATATATATATATATACATATATATATATAATATTGACAATTAACAGACCTGTGTAATAAGATATGTGCATATAAATATACTGCACGGGGTGGTCCTTAATACGGACATTTTCGAATTTCCTGCTCCCAAGGGCTCAAATGGTTCCAAATTGATAAAAAACAATTCTCTGAAAGTTTTAGCTCTTAATATTGTCTTATAGATAGAGCGCAATTCAATAAAAGTTTTGTGTGGAAATAGCATGAAAAAATTCAAAAATTTTGCAGAGCGTCGAATTTTCAATAAACTTTCACTTTTAATTCATTTGTCGCTAAGTATAACTAAAAAAATTTTTTTTTAATTGTCAAAATTTTTTCCATGCTATTTCCATACAAAGTTTGATTAAATTGCGCACTATCTAAAAGTTAATATTAAGAGCTAAAACTTTCAGAGAATTGTTTTTTATCCACTTGGAACCATTTGAGCCCTTGGGAGCAAGGAAATTCAAAAATGTCCATATTAAGGACCACCATATATATATATATATATATATATATATATATATTTATGTGTATGCGGTGCATAAAAAAGTAATCAAAATTAAATGTAGATAATCAAAGTTAGCTTATGTGAATTTACTGAATGCAATACACTTTTTACTCCCAGGTGTGGTAACCAAATTAATTAACAAGTGGCATCGTAAAATTACAAGTAATAAAACCGATGGAAATTCGAAATGAAACTTGTAATGCCAATTAAAAAAGTTGACCCCAAATACTGAAAAAACGGAAAAAAAAACAGCTTGATTTGGCATGTATGATCGTACTACTGCAGAATATTAGAAAAATAATCACCTTAAAAAAAGTGAAAAATACATGAAGATTTTTTTAACAAAAAGTGAGGAACTCTTTGATGAAAAGAATGAATGGAATGAATGAAATGAATGAAAACTACCTTTATACTAGCGAAAGTGTTATGTGTGATACTGTAAAAGTGAAAAATAATTTCAAACCATAATTTTAATTACTTCTATGCCCCATATATATATATATATATATATATATATATATATATATATATATATGCACATATTTAAGAAATATAGACACATGCTGTAATTGTATATATATTTATATACATATATGCATATATATGTATATATATACAAAACAAACATATATACAAATATACAGAAACACATGTATATACATACATATATACAAATATACAAAAAGACATATATATTATATATATATATATATATATATATATATATATATATTAGAGCGGGTTGATTTGTATGATTTTCGGATACTTAGGATCAAAATAAGATTGCTGAAGGAACTGTATCTCTAAAATGAATTCTTATGTCCCGTGCTTTGACCCAAAAATAAGGGTTGAAATTCGAAAAATTCCATTTTGATCCATTCAGAGTGCCCCAATCGCGTCCAAATGTATGACAGTCCCCCAATAACTTTGGAAGGTCCATTCACCCATGCTCTGGGTTCAAGCTGGATCTGTTCAAGCTCTGGGACCTCCCCTGAGCGGTTTTTCAACATTTAACCCTTTTCTTTGGGTCAATGCACGGGACATCAGAATTCATTTTAGAAGTATGGTTTCTTCAGCCTAGTATCCAAAAATCATATGTGCCTAAGTGACCTATAAATCGACCCGCCCTAATATATATATATATATATATATATATATATATATACTAATAAGTATAAATTTATATATTGCGGATACATATACTAAAATATAATATTTTACAATTCATTTTTGCATTTAAACATTTAAACATAATAACAAATATTAATGACTGGTATTTACTCTATACCACTTAACTAATTGATTAACAATCAATTGAAATATAAATGCTTTCAGCAATTTAATATGTAAAACCAGAAATAATGCAGAGAAATCTGATTTAAACTGAATACATAATCTGATATATATAAATATATATATATATATATATATATATATATATGCGTGTGTGTGTGTGTTTGCAGACATACTTAAAAATATCCATTATTTTAAAAACTATGTATAAAATATATGTCAATTATCAGTAACATAGGATAAAATGTTAAATTTTCGAATGTAAAACATACAACATGTTAAATTCTATATTTATTTTATATTGAAATCAACTTAAAACGTTGAATATTATGGACACTGTGCCAGCAATCACCCGAATTATGTCATTTTATAACTAGCATGTATTATGAATAACGACCATATTTAGATTATAAAATGTAATAATGTATTAGAACATGTAAATCATGGTATAAAAAAATGAGTCGCAAGTAGTAGTATTTCTTTAAATAGCAAATTTAGGAGATAAATATTGAATTAAAAAATAATGTGTTTCGGATTTGCATGCATACAAATTATAAGACCTGTCTTTCTCCCAATTTAGAAAAATGCATTTGAAATAAAAAAAACGTAATCCAACTTATAATAAGTTTAACAAGTTTAATAAAAAAGTAAAATTACCGGCATCAATTAAGAAAACAAACTCAAGTTAAACAAAAAGTTTAAATAAAAAAAAAAATGACATTGAGCATAATTAGTTCTAAAACTCTCAAACTTGTTAAATTACTAAAAAGATACATATACTTAAAATTACTGTGATGTAAAATGACATAAGTCTGGAGTTTGTTGACTCTGCTGTTATTAGATTAACCCTTTAATTGATTATGCCAAGTATACTCGTCACATTTTTTTTTTTCGAAAAATATTGAATAACCTTGTCGTCAATGGAACAATGGAATTTGTATTAATATTCAACGAACCAACTGTGATTTACATAAATTAATTTAATTGCATTGAATTTTGTAACTTACATTACTTGTTTTCTACATAGTTTTCATTCTTATAATGTAATATTATCGTCATGTGATATACTTTTTATCAATAACATGTATTTTGTTTATATATCGAATAAAAACATTTTTTTTTTTAAAAAAAAACGAGAAAATAGATTTTCAATAAAAAATACTGCGTTCTATTACAGGCAGAAAAATTTTACTCTTTGATGCGCTTTTATGCCGGTTACACTTGTCTTCTCTGGAAGAAAGCAGGCTGAAAACATTCTGCTAAATGAAGGTGAACATTTAAAGGGTTAATAATAAATTGAGAAGCTCTAGACTAATAAAGACTATAGTTTCAAATATGCCCATCATGGTGGGGACCTATGCCTGCAGCGGCATTTTTATTCGCATAAAAATCCGTGTTAAATTGCGCTGATAATATATAGACGACCGACTCGTAAGTGGCCATCATGATCGCCGTATTAGGAATTTGTCTGACTAGTTGAGTAGCTAAACCACGATAAATACCTGCCCTACCTTCTTCTCGGAATACAGTAGCCAATGTTTGCCAGAAAGAATGATATTTATTTCCTTCTTCGCGCAGTCGCGTGCGCGCCACTTCTGCAATATCAAAACTTCGTTTTAAACATTTTAGAAAAGTAAGTAATTCATCGAATATTATTTCTTAAAAAATGTGCATATCGCAGCACAAGAGACTGATATCAGTCTTCTCTGTACATGTCTTGTAGAACGTTTTGCAAACCAATATTCAATATATAGTATATGTAAGCATAAAGATGTGCTAACAACATAGAAGTTAAAAAGGTTTAATATATTGTAAATAATGATAGAGAACCTACCATGAGGATATGCGACGCAAGAAGCTACTGTTTTGGAGATGGCTCCAGCCAGCATGAACTCGAAGAAGTCGCGTGATGTCTTAGCCTGGCTTGGATTCCGGTTTCGCATCTCAAGAAGATGCGCTTTGATTGCTTCATATATCACAAAATGTATCACAGTTTCTGATATACCCATGTACGAAGCGCTAATGCCTTTGTAAAAACCCAGAAACCCCTGAAAGGACATCATTTTCATTGTTTATAGTAAAGACAAATCAACAACAAACAGTCAGTTTTTTTATTCTTTTTCATAATATTTAAATACTCAGACATCAACTAAACCATTGTGGACATTAACACATGCAAGACGTCATACTCCAGATTTCGGCGAACGAACACAGAATAATTTCAGTTAAATTGTAATCTCAATAGAAAAATGGCAAAAGATAGTGATTGTTTATTAGAAATTTAAACAATTGTGATTATCAAAATCTTGTTTTTCTCAGATTATATCTCTTAAACTCAATTTATTTTAAAATTTTAACCAAGTCATTTATGTTAATTTATTAATATGGTATAGCGGCGTATTATTTCTACTTTGTAATTTAAAAAATAATTTTGTACTCATTCAAACTGAAAAATAATTTTTGCATATATCAATCACTAAAAATTGTACATAAGAGAAATAAAATGTTATTAAATATTTCACTAAACCACTTCATATACTTTGTGCATTGTAGTTAGGGGCCGTTCAAGTATTACGTAAGCAATTTATTGATTTGCTTATTTTGCTTATTTTGGGTGAGAACTTTTGCTTACTTTTGCTGACAAAGGGGAGGGGGGGGGGTAAATAATTGTAATAAATCTGCTTACGTAATACTTAAACGATCCCTTATAAACAAGATATATATATATATATATATATATATATATAATTAAAATAATTAAAAACAGTTGAGCATTTATAGATCTAATATACTTATCGTTTCAGACAATGTTCATACTAACACTTTTGTTATATATCCTTTTCATGCACTGCCAGGCAGTCATACGTGGTCCAATGCTCTGATTATCTAACTGCAACCTGGTTTTTACAAACCATATTGGGTTAGTTGATGTAGATGCCACAAATCCTAAAAAAATCAAATAAATTTATTAAGAATTAAGATAAAATAATAATTATATATTATGGCAAGATTAATAAACGAATAATCAAATATAAAACAAAATCAAATAACAGGGATTAATATGTAGTATAAAATGTAGATTTAAAAGTAAATAGAAATTAATAAAACAATAAATTTTATACCAAGAAAGAGGTGATATTTTGCAATGAATATATGTATGTAATGAAATTTCAAAATTGATACAAGGGATTCAGAAATTCAGATTTGAATAATTCCTTTTTATATCTGTTAAGGTTTTGACAGGTTGTGTGAAAAACTGAAACTATGTTCTTCAAAGAAAAACATGTGTAATGAACCTGAGCTAACCATCACTATGGTAAGATCGTGGTCTTACTGATCAATATCAGCAGCCACTGGTTTCGTGTTTGATGCCCCCTTTGGCCAGCTTGATATCAAGCATTACTTTTATTCTCACTTGAGATTATAAATCTCAAATATGATATCAAGTGAAAATAGCATATTGGGGCATTACTGCAATACATATTTATTTTTTATACATTATTAGAAATATATATATATATATATATATATATATATATATAATATTTAATATCAGAAAAAGAGTAGTCAACAACGGGGTTGCCTTCTAGCAGCACTAGGTGAAGGAATTTATATCATCATAACAGCACATAGAACACTTAGCTATAAAGTTGTAGTTGTTCAAATTTAAAAAAGTAGTTCAAGTAATAGTATTTGGATATGGCCCTGACTACGCTACATCTGAAACTCGTTTCGTGAAGTAGCTTGAAAAGGGCTCAGTGAAATTAATGATTGTCTATCATTCGAAGTTCGCACTTAGCATTCTTCGCCTCTCCATTGAAGCAAATTTGATATATTTTACTTCATTTGCAGCTTTTCAGTCATGTCGGGACGTTTATACTCACTCCTTATAAAATTTTGATCAAGAATGCGTAGCTATTTATCATTTATTATAATTTAATATATTAAATTAGGTTTAATACGTAATTTAATCTGATACTGTGACAATAAATGAACCCGCAAAAACATTCGCTCATAACCGTTTTACTTATAAGTCAAGTAACAATTTATTTTATTTTTAAGAGGTATTTTTGATTATTTACTATTTTTTCATTATTTTTTATTACTTTTACAGTTTGAAAAGAATGGAATTTTAAAGAAAAAGTCATAATTACAGTTATTGAAGTACTCTTATTTATGCTGAGCCTTTTTTGTATTATATACATCATGATATAAACTGCATTACCAAAAATGCACAAAAAAGGCAAACTCTGTCGATTATTTGAACATCCTTTTAATACTACACCAATACACAAATAATGTAAATTGCTTAATGTGACTTATTTCACATAATAGTTTAGTTGAGTTTTGAATTATGGATTAGTGGAGCTTGAAATAACTTCATTTGGCGTGAATGTAATGAAAAAAACAAATATCAAAATTTACAAATAGAAAAGCCAAAACATCATTGCACGCAATTTATGCACTAATATTCATATTTCGTTAACAATCACCTCCATTATAAACCTAGCTTAAGTTTTTCAATTTCTTATCTTATATAGATAAGAAAGAAAGAAATTTAGTATATGTATGACAGATAGTCCAGTCATATGTAGTTTTGAGACAACTTTTAGGGTGCAAAATATAAGTAATTTACAGACTTACAGCTGGGTATCCCGAATTCTAAGATTATTACCTAATTCAAGCTTAAATGACTGGACTAAGATAGCTTATTTGAAACAAAAGAGTTCCTAGGAAAGAGGTAATTCAACAAGAACATGAGAATGAATATTAATTAAAACATTATTATGGTATATAATGAAATAAGAATGTCACTTACAAACCTGCGCAAGTGGCACTTAGTATATGCACAAGCGGTGAATCAGCCTGTATAGCTTCAGTAGGCAAATTATTCAGGAAGACTTTAGCTTGACTGTACGCACAGAAATAGATCGCCCTAGAAGGAGCGACGCCAATAATATTTGGTCCTAGACCCTTAAAAAGGGCTCGAGGTCCTTCTGTTTCCACTATATGTCTATAACAAACAAAAGACGATATTACTGTACTACTTTAACTGCACTTCTAGTTCTATACTGTCATAAACTCAATAATCGCTTCTCTCAAAAATCGTGCTTTCTGAATAGACATATATTTTTATCAAGATTTAAATCGAATAACGAAAGTGAATCATCAACTTCATTGAGATTAAAAACAATAATCCCTACTAGATGGACAGGACATAATGACGTCTTTTTTGCGTTCGTTCATTGTGTTAATAGTCTAAGAGCCAGTGAACTATTTGACTAACCTGTTTTCGCAGAGCCAGAATTTTTTTTTAATGATATTTTATTATCGGCCCATTAAGAAAGTACCATTCTGGCAGTCATTCCGCGGTTGCGTCATTATCCCTTCAATTTGTGAAAATGTAAAAAAAAAAAATTTTATAACTTGCTCGCACAAGGCTCAAATTTTGAGGGTGTCTTCTTTTAACTGTTCAGAAAGCATATGTAAAAAGCCAGCCCATTCTGACGGTTGCAAGGGTCTGCCAGACGAGTACATAATAGTCACGACGCGCAAGAGTGTGGGCGCATTGCCATACATAATTGACTAATACCCATGTATTTGAATAATTTATACGCCATTTTGAAGGTACCAAACTTCAACTTTGTATCTCACCTTATCGCCGAGATATCATTGAAAATATGCCAAAGTAGCCCCTTTTTCAAACTCAATTTTTGGCGTAACCATAAAAGATATCGAAAAAAAAATTACGAGATTCTACTCATATTGGCTTAAACCACATAATGTATAGTGATATATGCTAAATAATCCTTTATTATTAGCTAAAAAGGATAAAATAATTTTTCAATTAATGTTTTCGGATAGTGCGTTTTGTTTAATTACTTACTAGTAATAAATTTTACTAATAAAGCTCTCTGTAAAAACTATTTTTTAATTATATTAGCGTAGCATCTAGCGTAATTTTATAAAAAAAAATCAAATTTTATATTTTGTTATTACCCTAACTATATTTAAAAGCAATATTAGCGCATTTAAAAAAAAACCGAATTGGTAGATATGTATATCACTATAATATTCCGAGCGCAGCGCACCGACGAGTAGTGATACGCCCGAGTGGAAGGTGTTAATTTTGAGAAAATTCATTACAGAAAAATAAATAATAAATCCAGTAAATGCGGTGGTTGTTCCATGATATTTGACGAGTTATGGTCAAAAAAGTACAATATGAATCTTGTACGTTATCATGGTATAAAAAACATAAATTATCTTTCCACAAATTGGGAGAATCTCTTGAAATTCCGAGTGCAGAAACACCACAATAGTCAAATAAAACGAGCAGTACGACTTTAAATTTTAACCGACTTCGGCGTGGACAAAGGTTCAAGTTTTGGTTTCGACTCCACGCTAACCCCTTACACCACTCATAGACCATTACACACAATGTTTTTGAAAAAGCACACTCCTTATAGGTTTTTTGCTCTATTTTCAATGATTCGGTACACAAAAATCCGTTCAAAACACATAATTTAAGACAAACTCTTTGTTGGGTATTTTTATACACTGTATAATTTATATATTAACTATCATTAATAATGATAAATTAATAACTAATTAGACTTGAACTAAAATTTATACTTCGAATTTTTTGTATATTATAGAACTAAAATTAGTGGCGTGAACTAAAATTAGTGGCGAAATGATAATGTTGCATGAATTTCCCGATATGTGTAAATAATCGACTTAATCAATAAAAAATAAATTACTTTATGAGTGATTGAAAATATTCCAAGTGGATTTATTACACATAATTGAAAACGAACGAACACGTTAACAAAATTAACAAATTTTCAAAAATCAATAATTTTTATAATTGAACCAGTTCCCGTAGGACTTTAATGGATTACAATTACTATGTTCATCAAGACCAAGTACTCTATCGTTATACCAAGTAAATCGTCTAATTTTAATTTTAAGAAACGTCAAAAAAATTAAACTTGTCGTAAAGCCGTAATATTTCAGCAAGTTCTATAAGACCATGATATATATCGCCAAAAGAAGTTCCATAAAAATCGGCATAATTTTTTTTTCAACAGTTACTTACAAGAAAACGGCTAACTAATATCTATCGAATAGTTTTTGATTTTTTTAAATCCATTCGGTAGCATGAGCTTAAATGTGGACGACAAGTTTAACACTTTTTTCAAATTACAAAGAAGCGGCTCGACAGATCGTCGCACAAAACTGACAAACGATTGTCGTCATTGAGATACATGAAATGGCTTTTAAATTTCTAAAATCGGTTCAGGCGTTTTTGAGAAAACGTCGATCAAAGGTCTAATTTTGACAAATGCCAAAAAAATGATACTAACTTTTGCAAACTTTGCCGAATTTTTAAAGTTAAACGAGTTGTCGTAGGACCGTAATATTTTAGTATGATCTATAAGATTATGGTATCTACCGTCAAAAAAACAATCATAAAAATCGTTGAAAAAAAAATTTTTTAACACTTTATTACAAGAAAACGGCCCGGCCGATCTCTACTAAAAACTAATCAGCACGATTCCCAACCAATATCTTTCGAACAGTTTTTGAATTTTCAAAACCGATTAGAATTGCTAAAACGTGGACGAAAGATTTTTCACATTTCTACGATTTACAAAGAAACGGCTTGGCTGATTGTAGCGCAAAACTGACAAACGATAGCCATCATCGAAATACATCGAATAGCTTTTAAATTTTTGAAATCGGTCGAGCTGTTTTTGAGAAAACGTCGATTTACGGCAAAAAATCTGTTCACATACACATACATTCTTTTTCCAAAGGGTATGGGCGTGTTTCCATACAGAATTGGCCCCACCCTGGTATTTAAATAATTTTGATGCCATTTTATAGGTATTTTCGAGAAAATCCGATATACCAAATTTCAAATTCGTAGCTCATCATTTGCCCGAGATATCATTGAAAATGTGTGAAAGTGGCCTCTTTTTTCAAAGTCGTTTTTTGTCGCAATTGTGAGAGATATCGACAAACCAATAACGCCAATGTGTTCACATCGGTATGTACTATATTATTAATAACAAATATTGTTAAATAATTATTTTTTAATGCATGAAAAAGTGAAAGTAATTTTTTGTTTTAAATTTTCGGGTAGTGCAGTTGTTTGGACTAATTTTTAATTAGCATCATTAGAAAGGCTATTGAATTTTCTTTTAGTGTGCAAAATTTTATTTTATTTCCCATACCATTTGGTCTCATTCAATTCAGAATGACTTGAAACGTCGAGAAAACATAAAATTAGCGAATCAGATTTTTTTTTGAAAACATAATCTTCTCCTTCGGGAAGTTAATAATGATTTGATGAAACACTTTTGACTTAACGTTAACACATCCAACATTTTTATCTATTTATAAACATAAATTAACCACCATAACCAAAAAATTTGAAAACATAAAACGGATAATGTCATCTCTCTTATGTTTAAAAATTTTAATCTCCGAATTTGTTTATTTTTAATCATGTGAAAATATTTTTCGTATTTGATATTTTCAAATTCTGATTTTTTTTTAAATATTTTCGTTTATTGTTTTACTAAGTGGATTTATTACCTGATCGATCTATTTTTTTTATTTTTGTGTCAATGAGGAATTCTTTTTGTTTCTAACTTAAATATTGAATTTTGCAAGTAAGATATTTGTCGCTCAAATTTTTGTATGTTAGAAGTTTTGTATAGAAACTACGAGTACTTTTGACAAAAAATTAGTGATATAGATTATGAATCTTGTTTGATCTATAAGATCAATATTGCAGGTAAATAATTTTCGCTTCTCAATTTCTTTTGATTTTCTACATATTTTTTTTTCCTTTTTGTAATAGAGATTCATAAGTCATTCCTTTATAAGTTTTTTAATATTCTTTAATCATCATAATATTAGTTAATTAATAATTGCATAAAAATAGTTTGTGACAGAAAACCCTAATGATGAAACTTAAATAGTAAACATCTACAAAAATCTAATTGTATATATATATACAGGGCCGGTCCTGGGATCCTCAGCGCCCGCATCGCATTTTTTGTTATAAAAATTTCAGTATGTTCATTATTGCTTGCAAGAATATTTTTAAATATTCAATTATTTCTAACGCATGTGTAATGTTAATATTTGGTTTTTGATACATTTCACTTATTTATTTTGGAGATGTTATGCGATTTGTTCTATTGAGCAAATAATAGAAAGCAAAAATACTCTAACCATTCATTATTAAACATAACACTGGTACTTCGTGTATTTTAATTTAATATTTCGTTATATAAAATATCAAAAATTGCATCGTAAACTTCTTCTAATTGATATCGTAAGGGCCGAACTATATGTATTCATCTTTACTTTCACATCGTTGTTTTAAGGTTAAAATTTTAACATATTTTAAAAATATTGTCCAAAGATTAGTAAAAGATGATATATATAACAACGATCAGGGTCCAAATATTACATTTTAACTGATTTAGTTAATTATTTTCGGCCTTTTGCTTACCTAATGCATTGTAATAAGTTCATTGTTTTCGCTGACGAAGACATTCCGCAGTGTGATATTGCAAGAACCTACAATAAATAAAAAATATATAGTTTTTCATTTAAAATAATTTTTATATTTATATTATGTACTAGACAAATGTGAATAATTTGTTGAAAATTTTCGTGCAACAATAAAGTTGCATATGTATCTTTTGAATGCATGACCCCAAACAGTGGCGTCGGAACCATGTGGGCTGTGTGGGCTTGAGCCCACCCATGAATTTTGATGGGGGGGCTCAGCCCACCCATCAATCTCAAAAAATTATATGGGCTAATATCTCTAAAAAAACGAGACCACTGGCTGCCTATCTAAAAACAAAAAAAAAACGAGACCACTGGCTGCCTATCTAACAAAAAAAAAAAAAAACGAGCCCACCCATCAAAAATTTGGTTCCGACGCCATTGACCCCAAACAATATACCAATAGAGAAATTTATTACAAATGAAGCTAAATGTATTATTTAAATTAATAAGTAATAATCATGTTAATCGGTTCTAAACACTACAGAGTGCTTATATGAAGTGATAAATACAAAAATAACAGAAAATATATAATCGAAAGTGATGGATACAGATGATATAGTAAAAAATCACATGTTACCATCATTACAAATAAACGCATCATTACAAAAATATGATAGTGAAAATAATCTGATAAACATACTTTTATCGAAAGATAACAAAATCTAATAATCTTCTGAGATAAATATTGTAAATTCATATAACTGATGTTTTATATATCACCGGTTGTTAAGTAGAATTTGAATAAAAATTAACAAAAATAGGAATAACAGAAGTCGAATAGTTGAAAAGTATTAGGAGTAAGAAGACAAATATTGGAACTGAGCTGAAATTAAAAGAAGAATGAAGAAAAAAATGGAATGAAGCCAGAAGTTAAATAGAATTAGAAATTTGAAAAAAGCAAGAATTGAAGAAAATGAGAAGAAGAAAAAAATAAGAAGAATATAGAATATAATACATATATAGATTGAAAATCATATAAAAATTAGAATGTTAATAAATAAAAATGTTGTACGTGGCTAAATGCTCAGATATATATATATATATATATATATATATATATATATATATATATCTTATATGTAAAAATGGATCTCTCGATTCGGTAAAACTCGAAAACGGCTAAACCGATTTGGCCAGTCTTAGTCTTGAAAAATTTGTGCCAATCCACAGATGGTCGGAAAGGTGAGATATTATTTCAAAATCGCGTAGAAACATTACTTTTTTAATTTGAATTTTTTTGTAGAAGCTTAATTTAAATAAAACAATGGACGGTGGCTAATACCTCAAATGTCAAACGTTTTTGACAGATGATGTTCAATTACGTTTAATAGGATGTTCTATGTGAATCTTATTTAATTATGATTAAATTGTAGTAAGTAGGTTTGTTTGTAGTTTTATTTGTATACAAAAACGTTAGTAAACGGGCCGCAAGTGTTACTAGAGACTCAAAATATCAACTTTTTTGAAATGTTAATATGAAAATGCACTTTTTGGCATATTTTTCTCAAACACGGTGCTCTGAAAGATATCATTTGTATAATTATACACTCATTGGTATTTAAAAACATTTTCTAGGTTATATTATTTTTTATTTATGTTATTTAAATCCAGAACCTAAATTTGGTATCGATCAAATGAACATTTTGTCGAATAACATTTTCCCACTTATAATTTCCCAGAATTTATCGAAGAATAGACAGTAATATATGAAGGTCCGGGGTTAGAAAGGTCCACCACCGATGTGTCAAAAACCAGTAAAGTTAAGCATTGTTTAACAACAATATTTGAAAGTAGAGGGTAAAGATGTATAACCAGCTATAATCTTGATTTGAAGACTTTGCTATTGGGAGAACGGGAGATAAACGGTAATCTTTGAAAATCCGTGATAAAAGTGTTTTCTTCCGTTGGTAGATTTTTAGCATTAGTTAAAAATGTAATAATTTTGTAAAATCCTTTAAAATTAAAATAAGACTTTAAACCTGTTTGCCACCTGGCCATTTCAAGTTACCCCACCTATAAGGTCTAGATAACAAATTTTTGAAAGACATAAAAAAGCACATTTCTACAGTGATAAAGTAGAAGAAAGTTTTACTGAACGTAGTCAGATAATTGTTCGTTTGAAATTTGTTATTTGTTGTGATATATTTGTTATGGTTTTCACAATATAGTTTATATTTGCTCAAAGTCAAATTGGACCTTTGTGCCTCGCCCTGCTCTACATATATACTTTTTATTAAATTTACTTTAATTCATCGAATGTTACTTGAAACTTTTCAAAAAGCAGGTCAAAGAAGAAATACTTAATTCATTTTCTATCTCTCCTTGCAGAAATTTGAAAATTTTGTATAAGTTCAGTAGTATTATTTACAATTATACACAAAATCCAAAATCCAAAAAGAATCTGAAAAACTTGAAACGTAATCAATAGGTCGAAAGATCAAAAAAGACTTAGATTGAATTATACCATGTTTTCTATAGAAAGTGTATAAAACTTCCAGTTTGATTGTGCTGACAAAATATAGACACACTAATGGGGTTTATTGTTTTTATAATACCTCATTGTATATAGCATTGAAACAACACATCCTTATAGACTTGAGGTATTAATATTTTTGATTCTCTAAAAATTGTTTAGGATATACCTAACTTGACGGGTCAGCAGTATATATATATATATATATATATATATATATATATATATATATATACATCTTCACTTCACTCACGTTACATCTTCAACCAGTCTACGAATAACACACTATCCATTTGTGATTTTTTCAAATCAGTATTTTGTGAAAATATTGTGTAATTTCAAGTTAATGTTTATAATACATAGTGTAGTGCATTACCATATCCTAATACCATGGATTATTAAAATTTTCCAATTTAACACTAAGATCAACTAATTTTTCCACTGAATGAAGGCTAGGATTATAACCGAAACGTACGGATTTAAAATAAATTTTTGAAAGAAATTCATGTTTTTTATTGATGTTATGCCCGATTATTAAACTTTGTTAATATATATATATATATATATATATATATATATATATATTCCTATACCAAATTGATGAAAAAATAAATAATATTCTATTTCTAAATGTTTTTATAATTTCATTTTTCAAAATATGGTCAAACTATAATATATTTCGTATTTTATTTAAAAAAATATGTTTTATATTAATGATACGCCCTAGACTCTAAATATATATTATAGGGTAGAGCGGGGCTTGAAGGTCCGCGGGTAAAAAAAACTACCACCGATATCTCAAAAACCAGTAAACTTAGAAATTTTTCAACAACATTATTTAAAAGTTGCTGCGAAAAATTGAAAAATTGAAAAAATTTGACTTTTCTTTTCCGTTCTGAGCACTGCGGAGATTTGGTTACGATGTATGATTTGTACCCTTTGGGATCATGCTTCATGTGCTAATGTCCGGAAGGGGACGAAACGATTTATTAGTGAACTACTTTCTTAAAAATTAGCATCTCAGTATGCCCTATTACTTTTGTAATAGGTTGCATTTCTCCTTAATAAATATGTTATTAAAGTTCATACTTAATTAAAATACTATTATATTGGTGGTCAATGAACCAAAGATGAGTAAAGCGATTGAGACTGGTTATAATATCATTAAATGAATAAATATCACTAACAAACAAAATACCATGTCATTATGTCCGTACTTACCCGTCCGTCTAATAAAAAGAAAAAGAAAACGTTTTCAAAATATTAAGAAGATTGTTAGAGGATGATCAACTCGTAATAAAATTAAAACCCGTAATAAAAATTTAAGCTTTTTCATTTAAAAAATCTCAATCGAAACTCATCAAAAACGTTCACTGGCAGAAATCGAGATGATATAATTAATATAATAATTCTTATGAAATAGGGGTTTGTGGTGAGACGGTGAACCTTTATAAAAAAAATTGAGAATGACTAAAAAAATAAAAATTATGTCTTCAGGGCATCCAACTCCTACCATTTGGTTTCGATCAGAATATGCGATAACCTGTCCCAAAATGTTCCTAACAATTTTCCCAAATTTTCACGCCGATTGGATGTATGGTTTATAAAAAACTATGTAATTACTATAATTATTCTTACAAAATAGAGGTTTGTAGTAGGAGGTTGAAAATTTAGGGTTAAAATTTAGGGAAAATTTAGCGTTTTATATACGTTTTATAAAAAAATAAAAATTGACCGAAAAAAATAAAAAAATACTTCGCGGCGGCCAACTCTTACCTTGGTTTCAATCAAACTATCCGAAAACCAGTCCAAAATTTTCACGGCGATCGCACGTATGGTTTATGAATGCATGCATAACAATTACACACACAGATCAGACATATATATATATATATATATATATATATATATATATATATATATCAAGAGTAAAAACTTTTATTTCGTAAAAAAATCAACATATGAAATTGAGTCATGGAAGAAACTGAGCCAGTCATGGCGTAACCATAAGAACGTGGACTACAACAAGCTAGTCTCCGGTTTAATCCCACCGTTAGTCAAGCTCGATATCAGGCAGCATAATATCAAATTTTCGCTTGAGGTCGTGGACAAGTTAATACTATCAGATATACATATCTAATATATGCAAAGAAAGAAGTTTAACCAATGAGTTGTTCTCTTATATTTAGAAAAATAATTTAGAAATGTAAGTCAGAAATCACAGCTCAAAGAATACATAATTCTGAGCGCAATATAAAAAACAAAGAAACTAAAATAATTTAAGAGCTAAAATCGTAACGATGGTATAAATACAAGACACTACAGCGTTATAAAAAAAATATGTTTGAGAAATAAAAGATAAATACTTTTAGTATTAAAATAAATTTAGATTACTCTAAAAATTACATTTATAAATTTTAAATGATTCGCTTAAAAAAGCAAAAATACATAAGTGTTAAAAAAATTGTAAACTTTTTAAATTAAAAATAAAACAAAAGTTTTAGAAACCTACCACAACTTCACAACACGAAGTGGTAATAAATTGTGAAAAGTGAATAATTAATAACGATTTAAGAATTACGTTTTAAGAAATATTTGGAGTTCATGGAAACCGAAACGCATCATTTATTCAACAATATATTTACAACTGTCCTACATAGACATTAAATAAATCTTTTAGAAATTATATATAAAAAATGACAGCGATATATAAATATTGAAAAATACACAGTTGCATGGAATGCCTCCTTAAATACGTACACTTTGCAATATCTGTGTCGATTCAATACAGTAAAGAAACCGCCCGATGATTTGGATCAACTAGTAAACAAGTTAATTTTTGGTAAGATTTTGCTGCGATCATTCATCACTAACATATAACATATTCCGTTGCGAATCCATTAGCAAATCCATTAGATAAATATATTAATTTTCTTTCAGTTGGTACCTGTGGCCTAGATCTCAATATAGTTGTGCATAACTTTCGCCTTTGCTGGGGCCTTTGTAATGTCCTGCAGGACATTGTCGCTGGCTGATCGGAAACTCGAGACATGCTGAGCGGTTGCGTTTGTACTTGAACTTGGAATTGAAGACCTGCAGTCGAACTTTGCAGTCGCGTCTTGACTACTTCCAGTGGGCAAGTTGCTATGGCACCCATAGTTCCCGCTATCCTAAAATATACAGAATTTATAATAACAATTTTTAGTTCGTGATTATGCATAAAAAGCATCGATTTTGACTTCTTCTAAAATTTAAACTAGTGGGGCGCATGGCATCGTGCCTTAAAGCAAATTGCTGGAACTTCCCGTATCAAAAATTATTTTAAAAAGATTAACATTTTTGAAAAAAAAATTACTCTGAAAAAAAATAGAATTTTGAGAAACTATAAATTTTTGACAAAAACTTACTTTTTTTTGAAAAAAAAAAAGACTTTTTGAAGAAAAATTTATTTTGAAATAATTTAGAAATTCTGAACTTTTTTTCAAAGCAATCTTACTACTTTAACTGCATAGAGACAAAATATCAAAGCGCGTAAGCGCCGCGTCGCCGTCTAACGGTTAAACATTGGTACGCAACACATAAGAATGTGAACAAAATTTATACTTATTGTTAAAATCTCTATAAAATATATAATAATTTGATGTGCATACGTCTAATGATCATTTTTGACCGCCAAATGGCTTTTTTTTTTACTTTTTTTTACTAAATCTCCGAAACCTTTATGAAAATTTGATCAGTTCTTCATCTTGTTAATACAAGTAAAATGTTTTGAATTCAAATCGGACCCTCTGTTCCCTTAAAAACTGAGTCACCGTTTTTAGCACTTTTTGCCCCATATCTTCAGAACGGCTAGACCTGCCTTTGCCAAAAACTAATCAGCACGTTCCCTTATCAATACGAATCGAATGTTTTTCGATTTATTGAAATCGCTTCATCCATGTTCCCGAAATCGTCGACGAAAATTTGTATCCGAACACACACACATACATCCATTTTTTCTAAGGTATGCCAAAATGTTCAGAAGGTTTTGAAACGTAAAGATATAAAGAAATTTTTATTTTCGATTTTTTTGCGATTACTATAACTTGCCCTACCGGAAGTTAATAACCAAAAATTTTGTAAAAGGGCGATGGTTTCCATACGAAATCGGCGCTGACGCTGGTATTTTCACGTCATTTTAGTGGATACATACATGAGACAGCTATCATCTGCTAAATCCATAATTTGTTAAAAATTAGTTTTAATACAATACCGAAACTTTTACCATACACTAGAAAAGCCTTACTTTAATAACATTTAAAAAAAAGAAACAAGAAATTCAATATATTTTAAATTAATGCATATAATAGCGGTGTTGCAGATCTAATCATTAGCGCAATAATGTGGTGCTCACATATGTTAATTAGTGCAAATTTCGTATTTTAAATGCTAATTTTTATTATGTAAACTATTTTACGTTTAATTTTTATGGAAAATAAACTAAATACTTGTTCATTGTTTTGAATACTCTTTTGTATTTTGTGGTCTCGATGACGAGCAAAATGTATATATGTAAAATACAGTTTTAATTTAACTTCTGTATAATATATATATATATATATATATATATATATATATAGGGAAATTGGGATATATATATATATATATATATATATAGCTTCGAACAAAGAAACCAAAAAACAATAAAAAACAGAAGGGTTCGTTTCACATGGCAAACTTGAAAAAACATACTAATAACTTCAAATTACAAATTTGTTCTTCGTCTGAAAAGAAGTTAAAAAAGCACACTTGGTATTGATATATATTTTTTTTATTGTTTCAACAGCAATCAGAACTCTTACTTTACGTGTTCTATAAGTTGTTTGTTGAAGACTTATAACCTAACGTATTTTATGAGAGGCAACCCATCGGTTTACCATTCTCCTATGTGTGGGGTTTATATTAGCTCTTACGTCTAATAGTTATCATATGATTGAATGATGCAGCTATGTCCACGAAGGACGATTTGAAATTATATTATGATCTATAACCCCAAGTGGAAATTTTACATCAAAGCTGCCTGATGTCGGGCTACGGCGGTAGCGTGAATCGAACCAGCGAACCCGGGACTAGTTGCTGCTAGCCCACGCTCTAACCGATATCGCCACCGCTGACCCCCCATGGTATTGATAAAATCATTTTTAGTGACAAAGTGTAATTGTTATTACATAATCAATCATACAGGTAATTAATTCCGTTTTTTGTTATTTTCTTTTAATAAAAAAATTCTATTTTTTTGAATATTTCTAATATTTCCTTATATATAATCCACTCATTTATTTTGATTATTGTTATATTGATTATATTGTCATATTTTGTACAATGATATTTCTTTCACAATTTTATTCATTTTATTAAATTCCACCACTTAGTATTTTTAAAGTATATCGTTTGTTTATATCTAATCAAGATCATGTTTCTTAACAAATGTTCTGAAGATGGAACATACCTCGTCCCGAAACGTCGACAGTAAATAAATAAAAAAAACTGTTGTTTTTTTTATTAATTTTTGGATTATTTGTTTGAAGCTCTACAAAATATTTACAAATCCAAGACTCTACAATCTAATATATATATATATATATATATATATATATATATATATATGCATATATACATATTACCTTTTTTTTCATTTAAATAATTCTACCTATCAACGATTAATCCTATCCCACTTATATTGAAAAGCTTTTTCTAATCTTCATTTTAAATATATAATTTAATATCTAACTATTGACATGAAGTTTGAAAAACATAGTAGCTACTACATTTATAGCAAATTTGTCAAGCTCAATATTATTAAGCCATCGTATTTCAACAAAGTCTCGCGGACTAATATAGTAATACGACATTTAAATGTATTATAAAATATTTTAACAGATCAAAACAAAACATTATTCTAAACACATCACACCTATGATATCCAAATATCAATTATAATTCATTTACACCATATAATATCACTGAGAATCGGGCGCGGATTATCCCCTTGTGCTTAAGTTAATTATTATTACGCAATTTTCTTGGAAATGATTGGGCACCGTTAAAAAAGATGATAATAACTCAATAACATTCCCGAAGATATTCGTTTCAGTAGTAACATAATCAGATGGTCCAGTTTCAGATATCAATTGTACTCAATTTTAATTGACTATAAAGTTATGAACTGTGCAATCTCAAGATTGAGTAAATAAAGATTATTTGCACTATTTATCACAGACACAAAAAATTTTATCAAACAATATTATTTTAATTTATTAAAACTCAAAATAAAATAATTTCAAACATCTAATCCTAATCATTCCTTCAATTTCATCAATCTGCGTATATTCTGTGAAACAGATATAATTTGCAAAAAATTCTCTGAAAGCAAATATACTTTATTGCAGTTAATTAAAAATGACTGGAATCTTCATTAATTTTGAACAACAGTTGAATTATCTGTAATGATTGTAATCCATCTTAATTGTTTATTTAAAAATAGTTTACGTTCCGCAAATTTTTCAGATTTTTTTCAAGATTTTCAACTTCAGAAACTTGAACATCTTTGTATTTTCTAATACAAAGTTTTTACAACTTAAACGCCTTCACAAAAAATTCAAATATTTAAATTTCGAATGATGAAAGTTTCTCATCATTTTTTAAGTTTTCGAATGTTTCATAAATTTAAAAACTGTTTAAATATTGAAGATTTCAACATTTTTCCAAATCTAAAACTTATAGAGCAATGGAGTTTATAAAAATTCCACTATTAAAACAACATTTAAAAAAATATGAGAATTTTCAGCATCCTGAAACACAGCATTTTAAGGATTTGATCAAATTACAAATTTGGTGAAGAAAATTATGAACGATCAGATATTCGATGTAAAGATTCTGTTACATTATAACAGCTATTTCTATCTCAAAATAAAGTATAAACATTGTGCATAATTAAAAACTAATCAATTATTTGAGTCTTCTATCTATCTATGATATACCATCGTCTAAAGTGGTTTGCTTAATATTGTGTTACAAATGATTAGAAATTATAATCATATACTTAGCAACATTGTAGGCTGATGCGTGTATTTCTTTACCTAATATCATATATCGTCTTGTATGTTCTACATTTTACAAATATTTTATTGAACATTAAAATGCCCTCGGTACTTCCATTTATTGAATTAAACTAATATATATACAACTCTGGAAAATAAGCATGAGATTGAAATTTAATAAAGGCATATTAATGAAAATAATAAAGGCTTTGCTGAAGCCAAACTTTTACTAAACTAGCTGTAAGTGGAATTCTGTCTTAAGGCTATTAAGGCATCGTGCCTTAAGGCAAATAAATGGAACTTCCCGTACCAAAAATTATTATTTTTTTAAAAACGATTAACACTTTTGAAAAAAATTTACTTCGAAAAAATAAGATTTTTGAGAAACAATAAATTGGACAAAAAATTACTTTTTTTTAAAAAAAAATTTGAAAAAAAGATGTTTTCTTTATGTTGACATATTTTGGAAATTCTGAACTTTTTTTCAAAGCAATCGTAATGCTTTAACTGCATAGAGACAAAATATAAAGCGCGCAAGCGCCGCGTCGCTGTCTAACGGATAAACATTGGTACGGAACCCATAGGAATGTAAACAAAATTTATACTTATTGTTAAAATCTCTATAAACTATCTGATAATTTGATGTGCATATATCTAATGATAATTTTTGACCGCCAAATGGATTTTTTTCTTACTTTTTTTACTAGATCTCCGAAACCGCTAGACCTGCCTTTATGAAAATTTGATCAATTCTTCATCTTGTCAATACAAGTAAAATGTTTTTTGAATTATTAAAATCGGACGGTCCATTCTCTTAAAAACTGAGTTACCGTTTTCGGCACTTTTTGCCCCGTATCTTCGGAACGGCTAGACCTGCCTTCGCCAAAAACTAATCAGCACGTCTCCTTATCAATACAAATCGAATGATTTTTGAATTATTCAAATCGGTTGATCGGTGTTCCCGAAATCGTCGACGAAAATTTGTATCCGAAAACACATACATACACGCACATACACACACACACAAAATGTGCCCATTAAATTTATATTTTGCATTGGTTGAGTATTGTAGCTATCAAATCTTTTAAAAA